AGTTCTGCTGACTTGGGATTTGTGTGTTCCTGCTGCAAACCAGTGTGACTGCACCAGCTGTGTGACTGCCCTGCAGGAACATGCTCAGGGTCTCTCCCAGGGTTGAGGAAAGGCACCTTCTGTAAGAATAGCCTCAGCCTCCTTCAGGAGGGAGGAAAATAACAGGCCAAGTCTGTGGGTTTCAACATCTCAGCATGGGAAACAGAGCAAATCCTTCACCTAGAGAAAGTGCATTCATTGCCTTTAGGCTGGAGCACAAAATAAAGTCCTGTATCCAAACACAATGTTTGCTGGGTACTGCAGCAAAATGTAAATGCACATGTACACATACCACAATTCCAAACCTCTCCCTCTACCTCTTCACCTTTTAGATCTCCCTTCTTAACTCCCCTTTTTGTCTTCCAAATTATTCTGTGCTACCTGGCAGCTCCTTTGGTCCTGATCCCAGCATTTCCACAGGAGGGTTTATGTGCTGTTTATGCCTCTGATCTTCTCAGAAGCTGCACTGGCTGCCTGTCTACACTTGTGTAGCTGCCCACTTAGGTCGAAATCCCACCAAACACACAGACCAGACTTCCTTTAGCAGTCTGGTACATCCCCTTCCCCTGCAGTACTGAACAGTTCTGGTTTGAATTTTTGCAGGGCGTCACGTCTGACATCTGTAGACTCTAAAAGAGAAAGCCTGTAAGTAGCTTTAAAAAATTATTTTTCCCCCGCCATTCAGGAGTTTCAAGACCCAACTGGAAGAAGCCATGAGCATCCTGACCTGATCTCATGTCTGAGCCTGCATTGAGCAGGAGGTTGGGCTACAGACCTCCCAAAGTAATTTCCAGCCTATTTATCCAACAAGCCTGTAATCTTACTAAACAAGGAATCAGGGTCCCCCAAACAAAAGCAAAATGCTGTCCAAAAGACAGCATCGCTTCAGCTGTTTGTGGTTCCTTCCCCTTCACAGCAGGGCAGCACTGTTAACATGAGAAGAAGGGTCACCTGGCTTACACAGGAAGTTCTTCTCAGCTCCCCTGAAAATTCTGTTACGCTCTGAGGTGCTTATGGCATCCATTAAAGAAAACTGCAGGACAGACAGACTAGCAACAAGGCAGGCTTGGCTTTCTGACTGGTAAAATCTCCCACTTGTTTTTGTGATATTTGGAGAAATAGGACTCTGGGTACATCCACTGAAAAAAACCCATGCCCCTGCCACAGCAACTCCAGACTCCCTGACCCTTTTTATATAAACAGTTTAGCAAATTCAGTAATGAGATAACTGCTTGGGACAATAAAGCAGCAATACTAACAGTTTATTTTATACCACTTATGCCTCATCTGATTCTGAGTTTTCTTCTTAATTTTCTTCCCTACAACACTTCAGATATTGTAGTTATTTATATAACTGGCCTTATTGTTGTGGCCATCTTTCAAAAGCCAGCCTGAAATGTGCCAAGAAGTCAGGAACAAGGGAATTACAAGGTTTCCTTGCCAGGTGTCAGATGACAATTAAGGCATATCCTTTTTAAACTAAGCTAGAAGAAAAGGACATTATTTAATATTTACACAGGAAAATATAATCACTTGGTAAATGTACGTACGTGTACGTGTGTGCTCTGAATGGATTTAGTGCTGTTTAAGCCATTATATAGCATGTTGCTCGAAACAGATGCAATATTACTTCATTTATTTTTCAGACCAAATTTGCATGACTCTTTTGTATGTTGTTACCAAAAAAAGCAAGCAGTTCCCCTTATCACTTGGCAATTCTGATTATATGAATATCACTAAAAAAAAATAAACATGCAAAACAACCTTTGGTTTGCATTATGATTTAAATTTTTGTACCGCTGGACCATACATAAAAAGGCAGTCCAAAGAAATGGTGAAGACTCTAGATCTGAGTTTGCCAGTGAGATCTGTGGTGCCCAGATGGTTTACTCAAGACTGCATACAACGGTTCACGTGAAAACTGTGACCTTGAGTATCTCTCAGTACCTCAGCAGAGGTGCCTCAGCCTTTAGACCTAGAGAGTATGAGTAAGAGTGTTATAAAATTGAGGAAAAAAGCAACCTCCTGTGGATATCAATGCTTGGTATATGACCCCTGGGCTATGTAACAGGTACATTCTTCTGAATGATCCCTATTTTTCCTGCTATGATTAGAAGTTCAGGTCCAGTCTACATAGGCTCTGAGAGTCTCTTAGTCTACCTGCACTGATTTCAGTGAGGAAAAGGCGGTTTGCATCTATGGCATGAGTTTTATGCATTCTTACTCAGTCTAACGTAGGGGGGCTCTGTTCCTACCAGATTCACCCGTATTTCTAAATCCTGGTAGCTCTGTCTCCATCCTTTTCCCCATTAGTAAGTTGTTGTTAAAGGGAACTGAAGAAGGGATTCAGAATAGAAACAAACAAACAAACAAATAGAAAAAGACACACCACCACACCCAGAACCACTAGATGTCTTGTCAAAACAGGGTAACCTAATGTCTCATCTGCCCAACTCATTCTAATGGTAAGGATTGCCTGGCACAATGGAAGAAACTGAGGAAGTGAACCAGGAGGGAAGGATAAAAGAGATGTAAACAAGTAAAAACAAGAGAGCAAGCAGTCAAAAAGTCAGAAAATATAAATCAAATCAGTTGCTGCATGTGCATGTGTAACCATATGCCTGTTGGAAGCAAACTTTCTCTTGAAGACCAAACAATTCATGACAAACTTTTTATAGTTTTGAAACGGTGCGCAAAAATGGTGCACTTATTATCACCCCAAATTACAAGGAGTCTGCTTGCTTATAACCTTACATCAAATGAGTTGCCTCATACTCACAGTGTTTTCACTGCCATAAATTATTAACTTCATTATTAAGTTCATTTGAAAGAATGTATTTTGTTGCTGCTGACTTCTACACACTCCCGTTTTTCAGTCTCTTCCCCCATCATGTAGCAAGCAAAATGTACCAGGTTATAGAACATGCCTCCTGAAAATGCTGCTTAGTGACTCACTGGGAAAGAACAGAAATACACCAGTAAGCCCTGACTCACACTGCTCCACAGTTTATTTTCACCAGGTAGCATAGCAGAATATTTCAAATGTCTTTATTAGCAAGGTACAAATGCCTGTGGATCTATAAATCATTCCCAGGGATAGAAAAGGAAAAGAAGCCACCTACCTGTTGACTTCTAAAGTCATTAATTTAGCAAGAACATGGCACTGGCTAACCTGAGTGACAAATGAATTTTTCACTTCACTAGGTATTTTAAAAAAATTCCTGGGAAGACAAGTGAAAATAAAACTGTATATTTTGAAAAATTTCTCCCTGAATTTCAACATGAGGAGGAAAATTCATCCTGTATCAAATTGTTTCATTGTAGCAGAACAAAATATTTTGTTTCAACATTTTTGCATTTTTTATGTTGTTATATTAATTTAGAGAAAAGATTAAGTGGATTGTAACAGTACTTTCCAAGGGTTCATTTTAAAATTATTGCAATTAGGCTATTTCAACTTGGAGATGAGGGGTTTACCTTTAAGAGACAAAAATGGCAGTTTGACAATTCATCACAAATCTGAGACTATTTAGCATTCATATACTTCAGGAGAGCAAAATCTGCCTTTTTTCATCTGCAACAATTTGATCCTGTGACACTTTTGCCTTCCTCTAATGAAAAACATTATCAGAAAGTGCCACACGCCTTTCATCATCACACAATTAGAAAATGAGGGAAAGTCTCCCAGGTGAGTGCCTGAAGTTAGACCCCTACATCTATATTTAGACATGTGAATTTCACAAGCAGCTCAAGCTGCCTGCGAAAGAAGCAATTCCTCCTTCTCTCCTCCCTACATCACCTTCTCCTTGCTCTCTGCCTTGTGTTCGATCAAGCATTAGTGAAGTTCTGTGCAGAGCAGGCCTGGGAAAGAGCAAAAATACATCCCTCTAGCTTGGATCAGTGCCCTGATCCTTCACTTGAGAAATGGTGACAGAAAGGCAGGAGCAACCAGCCAAGGGTAAGGAAAGTACTAGGAAGTGCTGATCTGTCACATTCAAGGAAATATGTTTCATTTAGCTGTGAGCAGCTACAGATCCTTCTGTAGACAAAGGAAGTTTCAGGTCACTATCCATGTTCAAATGTGTTCATCTTGGCTTATATTATTGAGATTTTTTTTTTTTCCAAAAGTGAGAAAATAAAGAGGAAGCATACATAAAAGCAGGAGACAGCAGGAAGAGGGATTACCTGCATCTGCATAAATCATGTCAGTAAAAGGAGGTTTCAGCTAAAGTAATGGAGAATCTAAGCCTGACAAAAGCGTATCCCAAATCATAATCAAGACATCTTAAAGAGTGAGGTCTCAGCCATTAGGTCTCAACAAGAAAAGCAAGTACTGAGTGCTTACTGCCTGGCAAAATAAGTTTATTTTTTGAACTTTCTATATATTTTATTACCCGAAGTCACTGGGGACCCCAGCTTCATGCAGTAACAGTAGAAAACATGGGTAGGTATCCCAAAAGGTTATTGTTGGGAGTGGGCAAAGTGTTAGTTCAAGCAAAACTCCTAACACAACTGGTTGACAACCAGTTTCCAACAACTATTTCCAGTTTCATTGTCTGGAGTACAGAAGCATTAGAAGACACCTATTTCTCTAATTTTTACTGCATATTCATTATATCCTGTACTGCACTGTGATTTCTAAAATGAAAGTAAATATCTGAGAGATGTTACAGGAATTGGGGTGAAGGGATACTGAAGTATATTTTTAGTTAATCTGTATATGCTTTTGCAGAGGAAGATAATAAGGTAATTAGTGTTTTCCTTTTAGATAGATCTATCTGTTTTACAAATAATTCATGTACCCTTCATGTGCTAGGAAATCCATTGTGAATAACAAGAGTCAAAATTGTTCCTGATGACATTTGAAATGCCAATTAATACCTAGGAAACGATATCTCATTTAAACAATATTTACATATTTTATTTTTGTGTGTATGTGCGTGTCTGTATGTCTTCCACAGGTTGGAACAAGAAATACAGAAATTAGAAAGTGAGGAGTCCCAAATATCTGCCAAAGAACAAGTAATTTTGGAGAAACTAAAGGAGACTGAGAAATCCTTCGACAACTTGCAAAAGGTATTTTAAAAAAATGACACTTGGAAACATTTGGGAGCAGCAGTCCTAATTTATGCACTTGTGGGAAGATTGAGGGCAGTTGCTGAGCATGTAGCTCAAACCAGGATGAACAAGACAAGAAAAGGTGTAGAGGCATCAGGTTATTTTTGGTTGGATTATTTGGGTTTGCCCTTCCATTCCAGCTTTTTTTTGAAGAGGGATTTCAGAAGCTTTCTCCCTAGTTTATCTGCAGGGAAACAATTTGAGCATTTTTGGCCCGACTTTAAAATGTCAACAGCATCCTGAAAAGTATTTCAAACTTCCCTGCTCTTGGTGGCACCCAGAAATAGTAGCATTTGCTACAAACACCACTTTTGAACATTACAGCCTGCAACATAAAGCAGTGTTCTCCATTTAATTACACCATGTCCCTCTCCCCCAACCTATAACAGCATCAAAATCCAAGGAGCAACAACCATAGTTACCCATTTAAAAATTACATAGAATCATAAAAGCAAATCTAGCATAAAAATCAAGACTTCATGCAAATTAAATCCCAAATAAAAAAGGTTTAACCAAACATTCTATTTTTTCCGTTCACAGAGTTTCTCCCACCAGGATGGTGGTAAGTGCCTTTTTGCTATTGTATAGCTTTGGGTTTAACAAGAGTTGTTACTATAGCTTTGTTGCAAAGGTTTAAAGACTGGGGGTTCTTTCCTTCACTGTATGTTTCTGATTTATTGCTAGAACCATTATCTTGTTCTTTGGTATTTCTATAATGCTAGCACAAACATCACTATTGTGGTAGAACAGTATTGCTTTGGCAGAGTTCCACCTCTTCTTATGTAAACACAAAGGGAAAGAACAGCATGAATAACTTAAAACAGACATAATACAGTTTCTGTATTATTGACCCCTTTCACCACATGATAGACCAGCACTGCAGACTCCTTTTCACCTGTCTGTGGTCAATATTCTCCATTGTATGTGCTCATGTTCTGTTCATAAACTGTTAAATACTGTGAGGACTATTCCTAATATAGATATTAATATTAAAAATAGATTACTTCACTGATGAACAATATTCTCAGCGTGATAATTCTTACAGAAGAAAAACCTCACATGGGTTGAAGAGGATGTTAACTCAGTGTCACACTATGTGTGATCAGTCTAAATACTGAGCTATAAATTTAGGTGTCTGAGTGACCAAATAACATGGATGGTTCCCAGGAAGCAAGATTGACCCTTATAGAGCCACTCCAGGACCCTTAGGACCCAGGAAGGATATCATGCTACGGCATCTGCAGATAAATCTGTGCACCACATCCTCGTTCTCAGCACATTTCTTTGAAATGACAAGATTCAAAATACTGAGGTTAAGACTACCTCCTCCAGCTGCTGTCAAAGCCATGCCCAACTGTATTGTGAGTATAGACGAGGAATATATATGATGATCCCAACATTAAAACACTGGGACACAATGGAAATTACTGTATAGTGTATGAGCTGACTTGGAGCTGTCTTAGGGGGGTGATTAATATTACTTAGTAAGGAGGTTTTCCTTTTAAGTCAAAGATCTAGTTCAGAAATTTTCATTTCTCCTAGCAATATAATCCAAGTTTTTCATTAAATCCCATTGTCAAAAAAAAAAGTCCTGGATAGTATGCTCCATGGTAAGAATTTAGTCTTTCTTCCCTCTAGAGCATTTGAAATTGGCTACCACAAAGTAAATACAGATCAAGAATGGCAAATATTTCGTACCTATACAGAGTTACACCATGGTTGTGGGTAAGTTTCCAAGAAAGGAATGGTGCCTACAGAAATTAGCACGCAAAGTGCACAGGAGCTTCTATGACTCCTTCAAGGTGCATTCTGCCTCTTCATGTGTGTTGTAATTGAAAGGGAATCAAAGGAAGGCCCAGCTAACAACTATGAAGTGGTTGTTTCCCTGAAGGTATGTAGCAATGTAGTATTTCACTTGGTTCAGAAAGAGCCCCTGTGCTCTCCAGATTTTGCCTGCTTTCGGTGGATCCCTTCCTCACAGACTGAACAAGCAGTAAGGACAGCTAGTGATTTCTGAAGGGTAACAGAAAACTGCAAAACTACACCAAAGAGAGGGACTCCAGAATAAATGCACAAACAAAAAGAGCGGGGAATAAACCTGGGTGAAGTGGTCCCTCTTCTCTTCTAGACCACTTGTCTTATATATATCTTATCCCTTCCTCTCAGCAACTGGTCCCCGTGGGCTGAGACAGGCCAGGCCATCCTCTAAGTAGTGCCATCCTCTTCTCCTCTGCGGGTGACTGAGGCTGCAAACTGTCCTTTTAGCCCTCCCATTGCGGGCACAATGGAGCTGTACATCTTCACATGGTGCAGGTTGAGCAGTCCTCTTTGTTCTGCTGTGTGACAGCAGTCTGTGAAGGTAACTGATCAGAGCAGGAAGAAAACGTGTATAGCTAGCTGTGAGCACTTTGGTACCATAAATTTTTCCTTCCTTCAAAAAACTTCTAGGACTTGCTTTGTTGCAGCAGATCAAACATCTATCTGGCAACCATGTGTAACACATGCTGCAGAGGAAAATGGTAGGAGTTGTTGGATGACACAGGAAGGCTCTGTAAAATACAGACACAAACTAACACTGACCTGTTGGAGCAATTTCTTCAGTTGCTGCCACATTCTGAAAGACTCCCAAGGCCATACATTTCATGTTGTTTGTTCTGTATCCTTCCCTCCCTTTATTCTGAATGCAATGACAGTATAGAATGTGATTTATCTCACCATTGTGTCCCTGTGCATCTTTTTGTGCCATATATATTGTGGTGGCAGAGATTTTGAGTGTGCAGAAAGCACAAATATAGGGTGTTCAGAGCCCAGAGGGGTCCAAGCAAAGGCTCCAAGGGAAGGGGGGAAGTGGTGGTGAGCACCAGTGGCCGATCAAGTGACAAATCTGTGTCCTTCCCACCTTTCCAGGAAAAAGAGTTGTGTCTGGCAACGAGCATTTCTGAGCTTGAAATCATCCAGCCACAATTAACACAAATTCCACATTGTCCAGGGTACAAACACACTTTGCCTTCATAAATCACCATGTGAGAGAAAGCAGATCAGAAGTGCTGAGGCTGAGAAATGCTGGGATCTGTGGCCCTGTCACTTCCAGTTGTGACTGCCAGCTTTGTGTCAGCTTGCCACCAGCAAGCTCTCCATTAAACAAAGTCTGAGATGATGCTAAGAATTACATCACTTCTTGCTGCTCAGGTCTGCAGTCAGAACCAGCCATGCTGTGGTGCTATGCTGCACACACATCACGAGCAAATGGAAAGGAGAGAGTTCTTACTCCATGTGCGTATGTTTACGGCTCAATGTATATACAAAATAAGTCACATTAAGATCTGATGTAACTCTCCTGAGTGCTGAATTTGCCTTAGGGGTACATTCGTTCTTTGGAATATATGGCCAGTTGTACGCAAACTACATGCTGCTACTTCAGCCAACATACAGAAGCCACAATTACAGTAACTGTACAGTTTGCACAAACCTCTGTTTGAATTTTGTATGTACTAGCATATATTTGTCAAAGATGTGGCTCAGGAAACCTGATCTGGATTGGTTAGTACCCGGAACACTGCTTAGAGATTCTTTTGGTTTTCTTTCCTCTGAGCTTGACCAGCTGCACAGCCCAACAGTAAAACAGACCAGCATGTCAGAGGAGTCAATCACAGATCTTTGAAAAGTGCTTTCCACATGTTCTGTAAAAATTCACCAGCAATTGGTTTTCAGTTGTAGGCTTTCCATAGTTTTTTAATTCAGTCTCCATCTATAGTTGCCTCAATTACAGCACCTCTGGCTACCTGAGTAAAAACCATTTATCACCACCCTTGGAGTGCAACATGTGAGTCAGTTTCCTACCCATTTCACAGATCACTCAACCAATCTGTCTTTGCCAGGAGAATGCTGTGGGAAACAGTGTCAAAAGCTTTGCTGAAGTCTAAATAAACACCATCCACTGCTCTCCCCGTATCAACAGATGTTATTAAGTTGTAGAAGGTGATCAGTTTAGTCTGTCATGATTTGTCATTGGTAAATCCATGATGGCTTTTCCCAATCAGCTGCTTCATTTGGTTTGTAATGGTTTCTGGGAGTACTCATTCTGTCACTTGCCCAGGGGACAAAGTAAGACCATAGTGCTTCCAGTTTCCTGGGTCCTCTTTTGGCCCATTCCTGTGGATAGGTATGACATTTTCCATCTTTTAGTCATCAGGGACATCCCCTAATCTCTGTGACTTTCAAATATTATAGATAGTCTCCTTATAAAAATGTCAGACACTTCTCTTAACACCCTGGAGTGTAGGTTTATGTGTGTTGAACCCTTGCAGACCAGCCCTTCCTCCACTACTGGCAGGTAAATATGTGTTGTCATTACTACTTGATCTTGTGACTTGGGGTTCAGCTGTGTCAGTAAGGACAGAGGCAAAGAGACAAAAGAAAAGAGACAAATAACATCTGCCTTGTCACCATTCTAGTGACTGTTTTCCCTTCCCTCCTTAGCAATGGGTTTATGTCTTTCCTTCTGCTTACTGCTCACGAATCTTGGCATCTTTGGCGAACTTCAGTTCTAGCTGATCCTTAACTTTCCTGACTGCACCTTTCCATCCCCCTAGCAAAGTGCTTGCAGTCCTCAGTGACTAAGCCAATATGCTGGGGTTTATTATTATTTTTATTACACCTAAAGGTTCATCGTTAAGCTATGGTATTCTTTTGTTTAGACTCCTTCATTTTCCTTTGCAGAGGATGGACTGTTCTCGTGCTTTCAGCAGGCACTTTTGAATAACTCCCAGCACTAACAAACTCCTTTGACCTCCATGGACACTTCCAGTGGAATCCCTCAGAGGCAGGCTCAGCATATTGGAGTTGGCTTGTTTAAAATTCAGGGTCTTCTTTCTACTACTCCTCTTCAGTGTTCTTAGCAGGACTTTAAATTCCACAGTGTTGCTCTCACTGTATCCAAGGTATTATTGGTAGTTATGCTACCAATGTAAGTCAAGGAAGTCTTCCCAGTTAGCAAGCAGTAAATCTAGCAATGTGCTGCTCCTAGTCAGCATGTCCAGCATTTATAGCAGCAAGCAGTCCCTAGTACATGCCTGGAAACTGACGGGTGGTATGTGCATAATTTTTTTTCACAACAAATGTCTGGGCAACTGAGGCCACCCATGAAGTGCAGGTTCTATTGCCCAAAGACTTAGTTGAGCAGCCAAAGCAAGGTTTTATTGGCTTCATCATCCTGACTGGGAGGTCAGTACATAATATTCCCCTTGGTGATGATCCCTATAATCATGATCCTAAGTCATAAATAGAACTGGTATGATCTCCACAGCTCTCCTCTATACATGCAAATTTCTCTTTCACATAAAGTGCACCTCCACTTCCCCTTTTTCCTTTCCTATCATTCTGAAAATGTTTGTAGCCATCCACTCTGTCTTTCTGTCATGTGAGTTTTCCCACCAAGTTTTTGTGATTCCTGTGGCATCTCTCACATGAGCATAGGGCTCTAATGCCTCCTGCTTGTTACCCAGATTACATACATTGGCATACATGCAATTGAGGTGGTTGAACTTAGGTGTCTTGCCTTTGGAAAGGGTTGGGAAGCATTCCTTACTGCTCTGGTAGGTGCACTTATCCACTGTGTTGCTTATGGATACACAAGTGTGGACCCTAACCTCCAAGTTCATTTGTTTAAAGTGTGGTTCACTAAGTCAGAGCCAGGGTATTCAGTTTTTAGGAAAAACCTCCACTCGTGTTCTTACAAACATGGTGGGAGAGTCACAATCTCTGTTCCTTCTGATGTAGTCCCATGGAGCCTCAGAGGGCTTTGAAGGTGGAACAGCCCTGCTCTGGAAGCCAGTATTTGCAGAAGACACACTGCTAATTTTAGTAGTAAGCAGACTTTATTTAAAAATAATCCAAGCCCTTGGAAAATTAGTTTGCCTGACTTTTGGCCACCAGCCTCTGTGTGAGAGCTATTCTGAGCAATTCTGAAGATTTAGTTTTGTGCAAGAACCCTTGAATGATTACCTTGCCCCCATATGTTTTCCCAAGCACTTGTGTGTCTACTAATATGGAGAACTGCCATAGTCCTAAAATTCATTTTGTTGTAAGCAGTACAAAAAACCACAGGATTTGTTTTATGGCATCCTTAGATATTAATAATGTATCAAACATTGAAATGAAGATATTGAATGCAGTCTGTTCAAATGTTTTTATTTCTGTTCTGTCTTACTTCTCATGTGAACAAAGTGCTAATTTGCGTCTATCCATTCCATGTAATATTAACCTTTTATGTTCTTTTAAAAGGTGTTAAATGAAAGAGACCTTGTTGCCAATGAGATAAAGGGAAATGAGCGGGTTTATTTTGTTTGGGGGCAGGGGTGGGAGATAACAACACAAGACAGGAACTGGCAGAATCAACCAGCCCCAGCTTCTTGTAGTCAAATATTCCACTTCTTACACGTGACAACACCACCAGCTTCAGAAGGAACTACACGAGAATTGCACCACTGTCCTGGCGTTCCCTTCTCAGGACAATGAGACATTGTCTGGAGCCCTGAAGCTAATTTTTAAAATATTTTATTCTAAGTAACATACAGAGAAGTTTGTAAACTGAGTCAATATTAACAGCATATAACACTTAGCTAGGTGTTGCCTCCTAAAGCAGGAGGCAGGAAAACCCCAGCTTACTTAGGTCCACAGACATGTACAGTATCAAAGTGAGAGTTTCATCATCAAGCTGTTCAACTGATTTTGTTTGTTGTTGGATGTCAGCCATGCTCAGTTCTCTCTACAGGCACTAGGGCCATGCCTATTGATTCTCATCAACTGCAAAAGAAAGATGATTGGTTAGGCAGCACAAGTCTGCATTGACTACACTCGTGTGGACAAATATGTCTGTTACTCAACTCACTGGATAAGTGTGTACTGAAATGACTGTTCCAAAAGTACACTCTGTGGGGTGAATACAAAACTTTGAGGATACAGTATGCAGTGAAAATATAAAAAAACATTTGCCAAGACTGCCAGTTGTCCACTGAAATATGAAATTATTGTAATGGGCTCCCCAGGGAAGTGGTCACAGCACCAAGCCTGCCACAGTTCAAGAAGCATTTGGATGCTTCTCAGGCACATGGTGTGATTCTTGGGGATGGTCCTGTGCCACATTAAGAGTTGGACTTGCTGATCCTTGTGGGTCCCTTCCAACTCAGCGTATTCTGTGATTCTGTAAATAACATTTTCGTTGATGTTTGGTTTGGGTTTTTTTCCCCCAATCATCTGCTATAAATTGAACATATTCATATACTAACTTCATGGGGTTTTTTGAATGAATTTGCGCTGTACCTCTGTGTCATCCTTCTGTGACACCAGGAAGAGGGAAAGGGTCCCTCCTTTTACCTGAGTTACTTAGAGTGGTCCATGGAGGGATGGAGTGTCTTCTTGGGGACTTATCTTCCCGCATCCAGTAGCACTGGTGGCCACCCCAGGCTGTTATGGTGGTAAAACCCTTTCACTAATACTAGGCCCAATTTTCCTGCCAAAGGAGTAGGCTTTGGGCTTAGATGTGGCACATCATGTCCTTCCTGAGGACACCATCCCGAGCAGGTATTTTTTCTGGGGTGGGTGTTAGCCCATGGGGAATATGATGAAAGTATCTCCCTTCACCAGATGCAGTCAAGCAGCCTACAACAAGACATTTCATTTCCTCTCTGCTTTCACCACTTCACTTTTATGATCTGCACTAGTAAACCTATCTTACCTGCTTAGAGCAATAAGAGGCTTCAAGGAAGGCAGATTCTGCCTCCTACCCTGGCACATGGACCAGGCCATACCAAGGGCTTGACAAATTATACATTGTAGTGGCAAAGAACCATTGGCAGAAAAAGAGTGGTCTGTTTCACACCTGACAGAATCTTATGTTTGAACAGAAATTTAACCATTTGCATAGAGTTGAAAACATTTCCACTTAATAGGAAAGAATGGGGTTAGTTTATTTTTTTTCTTTTTCATTTTGGTTTGTTGCCTGAACTTTAAGTTAGTTGTTTGTACATCTCTCCTCTGAGCTCTGCTGTTAGTTCAACCACTCAATTCTAGCAGAACAATAAATGCTATCTAGTTATATTTAACCCAGCCACAACATATCTACCAGGAAATTCTCTTAAATTGGTTAATATCTCTTCTAAAGAACATATTTACGTTTTGATAAACACCCATAAGCTCAAATGTAAAACAAGTCAATCCTTTATGATAGCTTTCTACTATTCATGGTTTGTTAATGAATGATGACATTGCAGCACTGGCAGGAGCATAATACCTACTGAAGACCAAAACAGGTACCCTATCAATGCCTATATGTGATTTCATTATTAGCTAAATTTCAGGTTTAAGAACAAAAGGCCGAATGCTGGTTCAGTAATATTGGAAACAACTCGTTCTTTCATCCTATTCAGTCACCATTAGCATTTTTAGGCTTTTATATCTCTATTTGAAAAGTCACGTATTCTGGGTATCACATTAGATTTGTTCCTTACCTTCCCCACTGCATCCCACACCCATTTTTAAAGGTCACAGACTTGATAAATCCAGAACCTCCTGACAAATAATTTTATGTGTTCATCTGACATAAGGTTTGAGTCATCTGGACCCAATCCCTCCTGCCTCAGCTAGTCTATTGAACACCAATCACAGGACAGTGACTTTGCACTTTGTTTGCTTTGATCCGATTATCTAGTACAAAGCTCCAGTGACTATTGTCAGGGCTGACAACACTCTGCTGTCTAAGCAATGAAGCCACTGGGGCTCGTAGCACGAATCTAACTGTTTCCTGTTCTCTGACACCAGATGCAGTAAATTACATTTACTCCCAGATCCCTGAACTCCCAACCCTCTATTCACGAACAGGAGAGCCAGTTCCTGGGTGGGACGGAGCAAGCAGAGTAGCTGGTAAGTCTCAAGGAACAAAGTATTATAATATCAGTCCAGTAGCCATGAACTTTTTTGTTATATTACACTAATGAGTCTGGTGTCCCGATATCATTTAAATGCCAGGAAATGCTGCTTGATTTGTATTTTGTAAATAAGTCAAGGATTTTTGAACTGCAGTGAGTACTCTCAAAACAATGTAGTTGAACTACATACAAGTAGCATAGGAAACGTCCCTTTTTTTCACATGGAAACATTCAGTTCTTTCTATCTCTGCTAATACAAATACATGGTATCTAGGCCAAGGTTTTGTCTCTGTTGTGCACATGCAACTCTCATTAAGATGAATGAGACAGACAGGCAGGACTCACAAGACCAAATACATGCTTCAAATATTTGTGTCATTTTATACTTCCTTGTATGCTATTCTTTTTTCTTGGGGAAAAGGTGGGCATGTTTTGTGCTTGGAGTCATACAGAGAATTTTCTAACATTTAATTTTCAGATTGAGTATGTGTCTTAAATGTAACAACATGATTGTTAAAAGCTGTACATTTTTGCTATTTTCAAAATCCTTCTTTTCTCAACAATGTACTCCCTATCGCAAGACCAAATTGTTGGTGGCTACTTAAGAGGTGTCCCAAGGGGTGGGATGAAAGGGGGCTTACTTGAAGAGTGGGTTAAGAAGCATAGCAAAGCAATGTCTGCAGCTAAAATACTGAAATATGTATTTTTTCCACAAGTCCTGTTGCAAGCCATTCCAAAATCTTCCCTTCCACCAGTGCTTACCCTGATCTGTCTTAAAAGCAAGCTTTTCTGTGTGCTTTTTGCCATTTTGTCAACACCAAGAAAGCAGTAATTTCTTTCATTCTTTGGATGACTCAGAAGCCTTGTTAATGTAGTCCTTGATAAGTGTATTGTGTGTGTGCAATAGGTTAAAGAAAAGGCACCAGCATATGTTCTCAAAGGTGGGCTGTAAGCATCCACCTTAAAAAAGCTCAAAATCTAAGATTTTGTTTTAAAGAACATCCTCCACATAACAGGCAGAAGTTAGGTCCTTCTGTCTGCACATTGGGATATTGTCATGAAGCACTGCATAATGTTTCATTGCAATTAAAGCTTGTGCAGAAAACTTGTACTAGTGAATAATTGCTGTCATCTTCAAGTACCGCTTTCAGTTTCAATTCTATTGTCAGGTAGTTTTGTATTCTGTTAATAGACTACACTTAGCAGTAAATAAGCTTTGGTTAAATAAAGACATTTGAGATATCAACATTAGTTTATTTTGCAGCTACTTTGACAAGAGAGGCTACTAGGTTTTCCCATAAAGAACAAACACCATGCACACAGGTAGATAAGCAGGATTCTGTTTTCACTTCTCCCATGGCAATGCATTTCACTGGTGAACAGCTTTCTAAGAAACTCAGTTAAATTTATGCATTTACCTGCACAAGTAGCTTCAGTGTGATCCCCGGGTTGGTCGCAAACCATATGTTATCCCAATATCTAAAAACGGTGCAGCTGAAATCACAGTAGAATAAATGAAAATAAAATGTTGACAGTGGCTTAAGCAGATTTGCCAGACTTGAATTACGAAAGGATCACACCTGTTAATTTTCTAGGACAGAGTCTTCCAAGCAGTGGTAGAACTTGTTACCCAAAGTTTTCCTAATAAGTAAGGCACGGTTACCAGTCAGTACTCCATACAATAGATAAAAATTGTATCTTGCAACTTTTCTTAAATATAGAACCATGGAATCATAGAATGGTTTGGGTTGGAAGAGATCTTAAAGATCATATAGTTCCAATCCCACTGCCATGAGCGGGGATGCCATTCACTAAATCAGTTTGGTCAGGGCACCATCTAACCTGGCCTTGAACGCTTCCAGGGATGGGGCATCCACAACTTACCTGGGCACTCAGTGCCAGTGTTTCACCACCCTTACAGTAAACACTTTCTTTCTAACATTTATTCTAAACCTACCCTCTTTCGGTTTAAAACCATTTCTCCTTGTCCTGTCCCTATCTACCCATAAAAATAGTCCCTCTCCCTCCTTTTTATAAGCCCCTTTAAGTGACTGAAAGCCCACAATAAAGGCTCCCCAAAGTCTTCTCTTCTCCAGGCTGAACAATCCCAGCTCTCTAAGCCTGTATTTATATGAGAGGTGCTCCATCCCTTTGATCATCTTCACAGCCGTCCTCTGGACCTGCTTCAATAGGTTCACATATTTCTTGTGCTGAGGACCCTAGATCTGGATGCAGGACTCCAGGTGGGTAGAGTAAGGGCAGAATAGAGGGACAGAATCACCTCCTTCACCTTGCTGGCCACACTTCTTTGGATCCAGCCAGGATGTGGTTGGCATTGTGGGCTACAAGCACACACTGTTGGCTCCTGTCTAGCTTTTCACCCACAAGAATCCCTGAATTCTTCTCCCCAGGGCTGCTCTCAATGACTTCTCCTGATCTGTATTAAGGTGCACCTGACCCAGGTGCAGCACCTTGTGCTTGGACTTGTTGAACTTCATGAGATTCTCCTGGGCCCACTTATCCAATTTGTCCAGGTCCCCATGGATGGCATCTCTTCCTTCTTTTGTGTCAACTGCGTGACTCAGCTTCATGTCGTCTGCAAACTTGCTGAGACTGTGCTCAGTCTCACTGTCTGTGTCACTGATAAAGATATTGAAGGGCACTGGTCCCAAGACCAGTGGTATCCCTGAGTGATACCACTCATCACTGGCCTTCCCCTGGACACAGAGCCATTGACCACAACTCTCTGGCTGCATCCATCCAGCCAATTCCTTATCCGCCAAATAGTCCATCCATCTAACCCATGTCTCTCCAGTTTGAAGATAAGGATGTCGTGGGGGACTATATCAAAGACCTTACAGAAGTCTAGATAGATGGTGTCTGTCTCCCCTTGGCAACCGTTGCCATCACTCCATCATAGAAGGCCCCCAGAGTAGTCAGGCATGATTTGCCTTTAGTAAAGCCATGCTGGCTGCCTCAGATCACGTCCTTATCTTTTATATACCCTAGCATATCTTCTAGGAGGATCTGCTCCATTAACTTCCCAGGCACAGAGGTAAAGCTCACTAGTCTGTAGTTCCTCAGATCTTCCTTTTTCCCCTTTTAAAAAATATGAGTAATGTTTCCCTTTTTCCAGTCACCAGGGATTTTGCCTGACTGCCCTGACTTTACAAATATGATGGAGAGGGGCTTGGCAACAACATAGAACCATAGAATGACCTGGGTTGCAAGAGACCTTAAAGATCATCTAGTTCCAACTCCTCTGCCATAGGCAGGGACACCTTTCACTAGACTTGATTGCTCAAAGCTCCATCCAACCTGGCCTTGAACATCAGCCAGTTCCCACAGGATGCTGGGATGCATCTCATCAGGTCCCATAGGCTTGTGGCTATTCAGCTTCATCAAGTGATCCCAAATCCACTCTTCAGCTACAGTGGGAGAGACTTCACTCCCTTCACACCCACCCAGAGGATCAGGGACTTTGCAGGAGTGGGAAGCCCGACTGCCATTGAAGACTAAGCCAAAGAACTCCTTGAATACCTCAGGCTTCTCCATATCTGGCACCACCAGTTCACCCTTCTTGTTTATCAGGGGGCATACACTCTCCTTGACCTTTCTTTTCTGACCCATGTACTTATAGAATCCCTTCTTGTTGTTCTTCTTTACCAAATCCTGTTCCAGCTTTGCCTTGGCTTTCCTGACCCCATCCCTACACATTTAAGCTGTACCCCTGTACTCTCCCCAGGTCACCTTTCCCTGCTTCCACTAGTAGACCTTGCTTTCTTACTCCTCAGTTTGAGGAGCAGATCTTTGCTTAGCCATGTTGGTTTCTGGCCTTCCTTGTTTGATTTCCTACACATTGGGATAGAGAGCTCTTGTGGCCTAAGAAAAATGGTCTTAAAAAGCTCCCAGCTCTGGTCAGCCCCTCTGTCCTTAAGGATAGTTTGCCAGGGAATCTCATTCACCAACTCCTAAAAAAGCTGGAAGTTGGCTTTTGCAAAGTTCAGGGTCTTGACTTTGCTCCTTCCCAGACTCATACTCCTCAAGATCACAAACTCAAATATGGTCAGGTCCACATGATTTAACTGTCAGATTTTTGCTATCTGCTTCTAAATTCATGCCCACCATACAAGTGTTTTTTTTAATACACAATACTGAACTAAATTTGTGCATCAAAACTGGGAGGGTCTGGCAGATTGCATGCTCTTCTGCTCTAAAAATATATGGCTCTCAACTACTTCACAGGGGAATCATCAGTCTTTATTGAAAAGTCATGTCCTAGATAATACTTTTATTTTTCAAAGAAGAGGAGAAGCACAGGAGCTCCAGGGGAGCTCAGGATGCTGCTTCTAACCAAGAAGATAGCAGGTGGCCAGCTGGTAGGCTGGTGGTGCCCTCTCTGTAGGGCTGTTGTGCTCAGAACAAATTAGGAACTTCTGCTTACCAGAGATGATTTTCTAAATGTGCTGTTGCTGCCTCATGGTTCAGCTTTGCTTCAGCCAAACTGTCTGCCATTCAGAAACCCCTCAGTTTTAGCATCTTCACCACAGGCTAGCCAACCCCTATTTTTACCTGTGTAATGTTGGAAGTTATTGAACACTATCTGCCTGAGCAGCCCCCATGGCACCTGCATCTTTTTGTTTCATTATCTGTATAAATTCTGTTAATAGCTTCAGGGCAGAGGCACTTGGATGAGACATAAAGGGCACTTGTGCACCAGTTCCTGGGCTGGGACAGTCCCGGGCAAGTGTTCCATGTCAGCTGCTGTCTGAGCTGCACCATGGTGCAGTCTGCCACAGCTTTTCAGAGCAATTGCTTAGGGGCTTACTTGCTACCAGCCCTGGGATGACAGTTTTTTCCTGATTTCCATCCGTGCCAGCTGCCTCACAGTCCCCTGCTGCACACCTCAGTACAGAGCTCAGCTCTCAGCCCCACAGCCTCCTCCTGCCTGCTCAGGCTGCTGTGGGATGGCCACACCGTTCACACAGGTAGCCCTACTTCATTGTGAAAATGGGCATCCTGTGCTCAGGTTCATGACACAGTTAGTCCATAAACCTCCCAAAGCAGTGGTGAAACACAGTCCTTAGGGATAATTCCCTAGGGTTTAATGACCAAAATGAGATCACTGCTTCTGTAGCCTACTCCAGTCTTCAGCAGTGCCTCACTCTCAGAGGCAGGAATGCTCCTTCACCCATGGTCATCTCTGTCCTCCAACTCCCTGCAGGTGTTTGTGGAGTGTGGCGTTTGATCTAAGCAGTCCTGCCAGGGCTGGACAAGGTCTGAGCAGATGCACACAGCATGTAGATGGCCAGACCCCCCATTTGGCTGGGCTGCCTACCAGACTGCACTCCTGGGGGACAGAGGAGACCACCTCACAGGGAACGGCATGCATTCACTCAGCAACACATGAATTTTTTGTCCAGTACTACAGGAGGCATCATGATGCACGTCGTGGTAAATTTCCTATTGTTGATTAAATACTTCGCTTTAAGGATACAGGAAAAATAATTCTACCGTGTGTGAATAAAAAGACGGAGGAAATATATTAAAGCAACGGTAATTTTTATATTAATTATTTTTTTTAAATACAAACATACCAACCTTATTAGTTCTTGGGGCAAAGATATTCTGTACTCACTTGAAAATAAATAAAAAAAAAAAAGCAAAGATGCCCATTTATGGTGTCCCCAGGTAAGACAAGTCATGATTATGCCTTTGAGGTTCATTGATGGAAATGATCACTGTAAGTTTCACAAACAGTTGTCACTACCTGTGGTAATTTGTAATAAAGTGTCTGTGGATGTCTGTCTAGGAGCCAAAATGTTTTTCTATGCACACAAGGAATGCTTAAACAAATGAACTCTTCTGGAAAATCTGAGAGACCTTTGCACATTTTTCTTTGAAAAGCTGTCTAGTGAGATGTCATTGTATCTCAAAATGGATGTTGGAGCAGTGTAGACTGCTTGTCTATTCCTACTGTGTGGTCTACAATTTCCATCTCATTATGCATCCTTACCTGCTAGAACACCTTTGCTATTCTAAAGCAACATCCCTCACACAAGTTTTTACCTGTTGTTTCATGACTTTGAAAATCAGTTCATTGTTACTTTTTTGTTCATCTTTGGCAATGGTGCTTAATGCCTAATTCACATAAACAAGGAAGCACTTCTTGGCCACTTTGTACATTCTGTTAACTCTGGAAATAGAGGTCATTGTCAGTGTCTTGGTGTGGAAGCTGAGAGAGCTGCCCAGCCACACACCTGTGGGAGAAATTATCCCATTCCTGTGTGGTTTTGTTTTCCCACCTGTAGACCAGGGATAAACAATGTTTCTTCACGCCTCTAAAATGGTTTGAATGCTACGGATGGAAGAGTTAAGCAAGGACAAGCATTGATAATAAAGTGGTCTGGGTATTACATGCAGCAAACAAAACTTGTTACCAACTAACTGGCAGTTTGATGGCAGAGAAGAAGGAGAGAGTAGAGAGGTTCTCTCTGAATTTTGAGGCAAGTTCAGACCGGAAAGTTTGAAAGCAACCTGCATGCTGTCACCTCCCTTTGCCTAAATTACACCTAACCTCTTGGCGCTCCTAATTGATCAGAGACAGCTCCATGAAGCGTGAGCTGGCAGAGTAGGTCCTGTTTGCCACAGGTATGCCTAGCCTCCACCTGCATAAAAAGCCACAGTGTAATAACTGTCTCTGTCCACAGTGTTGCGTCCCACCTCTAATGTAGACCGCTTAGCCCTTTAGCAGCAGGAGATAGGAAAAAGGGGCACCATAGTTTTCTTTGTCTGTTTGGCAATTAACCATTCACTGGCTTTTTTTGTTGTAACATGCACTTCCTCTCTTGTTTTCATTCAAGCTTTGTGCACCATGGAAATTAATGTGGAGAAAGACAAACAGACAGGAGAGACCAAGATTGTCTCTGCTTCACCTGTTGGCCCAGATGAGGCCCATCAAAGAGGATTCAAAGTCTATGATGATGGTTCCAAGGTAGTCTATGAGGTTCACTCTGGTGGCACAGTGGTAGAAAATGGAGTACATAAATTAAGCTCAAAGGACGTAGATGAACTTATGCAAAAAGCTGGACAATCAAGTGTAAAAGGAGGGTATGAAACAATGACTGTGTCAGACAGAAATGTGGTAGCCGATGGAAGCCTTAGCCATATGAAGGAGCAAATGCTCTTCAAGGAGGCAAAGCTGGAAATGGTACACAAATCCATCAAAGGAAATGCTGTGAACCCTCAGCCCCAAGATAAACCCTGTGGTGGTGAAACCCTGGAGGTCAGTGCAGATCAGCCAGTGACAATGATATTTATGGGCTACCAGAACATCGATGATGAAGAGGAGACAAAGAAAGTGCTGGGCTATGATGAGACCATCAAGGCAGAGCTTGTGCTGATTGATGAGGACGACGAGAAGTCGTTGCGGGAGAAGACAGTGACAGACGTTTCCACCATGGACGGGAACGCCGCTGAGCTGGTCTCTGGCAGGCCCCTGTCAGATACAACAGAGCCCTCCTCTCCTGAGGGGAAGGAAGAGAGCCTGCCCTTGGAAGCTGCCCCAGGTACACAAAAGAAAAAGCGCTGTCAATGCTGTATTGTCATGTGAACATCTCCTCCTTCCCTGCTCCAGGCAGCTCCTGCTCCATCACTTACCTAGACCTCACTGTACTTCTAACTGCAATACTGTGAACTGGAAGTGAATGCCTCCATTGCCTTGCAGTTGGGTTGCTTTGCTTTCTAGTTCTTCAGGAAGAGGAACGCCTGGTTATTTTCCCATCAGACATACTATTTGGAGTTTGGGGAGGGGTTGGGGGTTTTCTGCTTCTTTTTTTTGTTGTTGTTGTTGTTATTGTTGGGGGTTTTTTCCTTAATATTACAGAGTGAGAGATTAATGGGAAATGGAACATATGTTTTCATATTTATTTGATTTTTATATATATTTTATATATATAATGAAAACACTTTTAACTTTTTTTTTCTTTGAATATCTGGCAGGCTTGATCAGATTCCTAGGATTTTGTGGGAGTCTGAGTTTCACAGCCACCAGATATGAGAGCCTTAAAAAAATGTTACTTCTCTTTTTAAAGAAAAATCACATTTAAACATTATTTTATAGATCACATTTTTTATTTCTTGGGGGAAGGCTCAGATCATTTTACTGTTTAATTTGCTAAAACTCAGACACGTCTTTCCCAAAAAATTTGCATAGTTTCATTTTATAGTAACTTTCCAGTTTAGTTTGCAGTGTCAGAAAAACCCATCAGCCATTTCTGCTTATTGGTGATACCAGAAGTGGACCTTAATCATTCTTTCTAGAAAATGTATGAATGATGATTTTGCCTTATATAAATCTTCCAGATTACAGTATTGTATATGCACTTCATCTCCCAAAATTACAGTTGACATTAACTTGACATGAAAAAGATGAAGCTGTCACACCAACAGAAATGGAGTCACTGATCTAATTACATGCCTTTCAGTAACTCTGCCAATGTTTATACATGAAGTTTTCTTGCTGAACTCCAACAGATGAGAGATATTGCTTTCTATTTCCCTAGAATATAAATGGACTTCTCTCACAGTCTGACCCTATTCCTACTGGATTCAGTGACAAAATTCTCAGTGCTGGGAATGGGGGCAGGGACAGAGATTTATTTTGTAATTCTTAGGGAAGTGTAATTTCTCACAACGTGTACCTTCAGTGCTCCTACATAATGATAGACAAGGGGTCTGATCCTGCCCTGCTTGTCCAGGTAAAATTCCTGTGGATGCCCACTGGAATTTTGTCACAGCAGATGTTTTTGGAGACGATCCTATAGCCACAAGACTAACTTTTTCAAAAATTGCTGGTGGTTTTGGATGCTTCATTTTCTAATGTGGGGCACTTCAAGGAGACCTGATTTCCAGTACAATATTCTTCATCTGACCTCTGAAAATCAGGCCTCTTAAAAACAACTCCAGATGAAAATGTAAAAAGGGGAAGGCATCCAAAGTCAGTAGATGTTTCTTTGTTTCTTGCTTTTTGATTCTTCTAACAGAGAAAGCAGCCAGATTTTTCATGGTGAGATATTATGAACCTGATTCTTGTCTTACACCAGTTTTGCTTAACTCACTCTACTGGAGTTAGTCTGGAATTATAACTACACAGGTGAGATTAAAAATCAGGTTTTATATTTTCTGATAGTGTGAACAAGTACTGAAGATTATTTTGAAGTGTCTTTGAAACTATCAGACTTTAAAAATCATTTAACGGCAACCAAAAAAAAAAAAAAAAGAAAAAAGAAAAAAGTAAAAAAAAAAAAGTAAAAAAAAAAGGAAAGAGAAAACAACAAAAAGCCTCTTTTCAGTCTGAGGTGGTTTCTATGATATTTCTGTTCTTTCTTGGATGGTGCTTTTACTGCATTAATTGTTAGTTCAGAGCATCCAATTAAACACAGTTCCTGCTCTGTACTCTTTTCTTTCTGTGCCAGTAAAAAAGACACTTGTTCACAGTGGTGGTAATATAAGGCACACTGAAAACCTACACAAACAAAAAATGCAAAAGGTAGTTCCCATGTTAGGTCACTCAGTTGTCAGTATGGAGCTGGTCAATGAAACTTCTCACCACTGCCCAGGTGACTGTCAGACAAAAAAAAAAAAGACAAGTAGTAAATAAACCAAGAGTAGTAAAAGACAGCCTCACCTCTTTGACACCTGCAGAAATTTTGCTGGCCTCCGTATCTGCTACAGAGGCAGAAATTAATAGATTTCCATATACTCCCTTTGCCTCCCCCTGGGGGCTTTTGGATGGGAGAAGGACCAAACTCACCTAGAGAAGCTCTGCACATTATCCTTTGACTCAGGCTTAGGTGGTTAAGTTTTATCAAAGAGGGGAAGGGCCACAGAGCCCCACATTGCAACAATAAGTCTGGTGGCTGTTTGTTAGAAACTAGCAGTTTTGGGGTTTTTTTGGTTGGGTTGTGGTTTTTGGAGAAGGGGAATTCCAATTTTTTTCTTTTTTTTTCCCAGATATGCTAAACATTTACAAACCTCAACATTTCTTAAAACAAGACCCTAAGTTTTAAAGCCCGGAGTGGCCAAGTGAGACTGTCCTCAAGCATATTTTAGGACCCCAAAGCACTGCAACACAAAGGGTGAAGCCCTTTCTGCCTTGGATCTACCTATGAATTACATGGGAGCTGGGCACGCTTTGCAATAGTTCTTGCACTCTGGGGCCTGCTCACCTCACCAGGAACACTCAGAAAAAAACCTCCTAGCCATCTCCTCCTGGCCTGGCCATTCCTCTCATTCCTCACCACTGTCTCTCTGGGTGTGATGCCACCTTCACAGCCACCCTGGCCTCATGGTGTCTTCACAGCCTGATCTTTTTCCCCCTGCAGCTCCTCTCGCCATATGGACATTTTTTCTCAAAAGCCTGCTGCTTGGGAAATTTGAGGTGTCATATTACCCTAACCCATTCTGTTCCTCCATCCCTTCAGCCATATGCTCCCATGGCAGACGACCTTCTGGTTCAGCACCGACTCAGCAGTTTGGGGATGACTCCCTTAGCATCCAGCTTTGGGAGATGCTTGCTGACGCTGGGACCAGAACGTGTCTGAGACCACTGCACCATCTGAGGCTCAACATGGTGGGGAGATGGTGGCACATGAGAGTCCGGAAGCGGCCCTTTAGTGGTTAGAAGTAGAGCACAAGCCTTAAACCTTAAACCTCTCAAATACCTACTGCTCAGTACTTGTAGCTATCATTGAGTGCCTAGGAAGGCCAGTCTTTTTTATGTGTTCACATTAACTCCATGGTTATCAGGCCCCGGTAGATCCAGAAAAGCTAAAGGTTTGTCTGCATGGGGGTTGTCTGCATAGGGTTTGTCTTTACAGTTCAAAGGCAGTTCCACATCTGAGGTCAGGAAAAACATGAAATAGGAGCAAGTGGGGCTGAAATCACAGGGCCTTATCTGAAACACGCTTACTCCAATCATTCTCCTCCACAAGGCAGCAGCCATGCCTGGACATCATCTTGTCCCTTCTAGCCATTAGCCTGCAGCCAAGTTACAGGGGAATTCAGATGCGTTAGCCTAGGCTGATGAATGTAAACTGTTTTTCCAGGGCTGCTTTGGGCTTTGAAGGGGTCGGTTTTCCCCTCACCCTTGGATAGGAAGCTGCCTGTGGAAATTCAAGCACAATCAGGAGCAAAGGAAGAGGTCTGCTCTACGACCAAGCAGAGAGAGAGTTTTGTAAGGATCATTATGGGATGGGGTTTTTTTGTGTTGTTTTAAGCAAAATCCGTCTGTTTAACTTATGCCATCACATGTACATTTTCAGTTTCAGCATGAGGGGATACAAAAAAGTAAAGTCATAAACTGGTTCAGTGATAGCATTTTGCCACAACAAACTGCTCGCCTTAACTTTTGTAAGAAAAAAACAAAGAAAAAAACCTCTTTTCAGTATATTTTTTCCTAGACTGGGAAAAAAGTAACCTATGAAATTTTTTATATTTTGTATTTTCTAAGTTTCTATAAACCCACTTTCCATGTCGTCCCTTGTTTGCATTCAGGGACTGTTACTTTTGCAAACCACTGCATTTTACTTCCATTCTTTCTTTTTTTTTAAACAGAAGAAAAACACAAATCAAAAACCACAGTGCTATGATTAGTGGCTAGGCAATCTCTTTCAACTTCTAGAATATCAATACAGAAAGAAAAGAATTACAGGGTTGTTTTCTTTTTTTAATTTCCCATGGCTGATGTACTGTATGATATGTGTTTACAGAACTCCTCTGGTCTGCCTTTGTGATGTTATCTAAATGAATGACAAAGTAGGTATGATGTGCCATTTGACAGTTTGCCTTAGCACTCTTGCATTTCCTTCTTCTTTTTGTAGCTTTCATTTCCTTATTTTTTTTTCCAAAAAATGCAGGCTGTATTCCAAAGCTGTATAAACACAACATTATCTTTCAATCCCCAGCAAGAGAAGTGTGCACAAGCCCTTCTCCGTGAAGTGTGCTTCTACTGGTGCAATACGAGACATCAGTCCTGCAAACAAAAATACATATGCCTAACTGTGCTGTGTGTAGACCTGTTTCAGTCAACAGGACTACTTGCAGAAAGAATGTGTGTAGGTGTCTGCAAGATCAGGGCATGAATGATAACACAGGGTATGATTTGGGTGCTTCTTATGTACCTGTACAGACTGCATGCACTGCTGAGTTTGCCCCAGCTGGTGTAATCCTAGAGGCCAATTCTGCTTCTTCTGAGAAAACACAAAACAAAATGGTGCTGAGCATCTGATAGGATCAGATCCTGAGTCATCATTGCTACCACATCAGTGGTATCCATGAGCAAACATTTAGTGGGACTTCCCTAATAGCTAATATATTAGTCCCCTGTCACTGTACCTAAGTTCATTACTGATTCTTCACACCTAAAATTATTAAGATACCACAAACTAATATGAGCAGAAAGATAGCATATAGAGTTGCCAGAGAAATAAAAGGTGTTCTGGCTTTTAACTTAGTCAAACATCCAAATGGTATACTTGGAAAGTAGGGGGGATATAATAGAAAATGT